TATTCATATATGTGTATATTTATATATTTTATTAGTATGTATTTATATTTTTCCAATATATAAATAAATACTAATATTTAAAAGTCTAAATAATTTTATATTTAAATAAATTTAAATATTAAATATATAAATGCATATTTATTAGTATATATTTATACTAATGTATAAACAGATCAGTGAACTATAAGAATTATTAAAGCTATGGAATCAGTCTGAAATGCAAGCATTTATGTTTTACTCTTCTGCAAAATGAGATGCAAAGTGGGAAAGAAATTTTTGCTGTGGTCAGAGCTATAGCGTGTTGGGTCCATACCACGGACCACTTTATATGCTCATCTATTTAAAACTCACAACAACCCTGTAAATTATACTATTTCTTATTTTATCAATTTATATTTATAAAAAATATAAATAATACTATTATTATTCCCATGGTACCTAGAGGTGAGCCCTAAAGATATTAAGTACTTTACCCAAGAAGGGGCAGTCAGCACGTCCACAGCCTGGCGGTCTATTTGAGTGGCTTTATTGCCTTTGTATTTCCAAGGAAGGGAGATCTACAGAGATGAACCAAATGCCTGCTAGGAATACAATTCATAAGAGGCTGAATCAGGGATTGAAAGCTCTTCTCCGACAGCTAATCCTCCCTGAGAGGTCTGTGTGCAGAAGGGATCACAAGGTATTGGAGTTCCGGCCCTTACATCCGGCTTGATCCTGTCTTGTATTTGACTGTTAACAGTGCTCAGATAATTTAAAAGTTTAATACCAGGCACTGCTGGAGTCCTGCGATGGCAGCATGTTATAAATGTTATATATCCTCCTCCCGTTCCCAGAGATCAACCGGAATGTTAATGGATTTCCTGGGACAGTTCTCTGAAAAAAACTTCATAAACTTTATTATTTTTAACCATAATTATTTTGGTACACTTTTGAGGTTATGTAAAATATTGGCTAAAGCCAGGAACACATAGGTGGAACCTAGTGATGGAACTTTTGGGTAACATTTTCCTGAGAGGGGAAGTGAACACGTGTAGCATTTAGGCCCCTGAACTTCAGGCCCCTGAACTGTCAGGTGTGTTCTGGGATGTTAACTGTTCCCTGGACTTCCATGCAGATATCCGTGGAAACTTATCACTTTAGCAATTATACATCTTAAGACTGGTGATCCGTCCGTGGTATACAAATCGGAAGTTAAAGTTGTCTTTGATAAGTTACAGGTAAATGAAATTATCCTGGAGGAAAAAAATATATATCTTGATATAAAACAAAATGTATAGTATAGAAAGGCACAAAAGTCCAAGAAAAATGAGATCTGTTCTTTTAAACTCAGGATTGACAAGACATTCAAGAAGCGAGGGGTTGCTCTGAAAAACACAGGTGCAATTATATATTTCTTCTGAAAATAATCAGATGCAAGTGTACAGTGATAAATTGCAAATCCTAAGATGCTCTCCACTAGCTTGAGGTTAAATCAATGTTTTTCCTCAAATCAAAACATCAGAATTTTTCCTCGGTTGAGGTTTAATTTTTTAAAGGTTGAATATTTATAGGGAATCTAAACACTGAAATTGTCAGAAGTCCTTGGAGAAAGGTTAAGCTAGGTAATGAGTAAACTCAGAATGTTCGGGAGTAGGACTGAAGGTGTCCGGGAACACCTTGAATTAAAATGCAAAGCATTCTGAAGAGAAAGTCTGTACCTTTCATCAGATTTCCAACAGAGTCCAAAAACTCTTAACAATTATTTCCTTAGGATGGCATTGCTTTCCTTTTTTTTTTTTTTTTAATTTGTCCATCAGCTATACTGGCGTGGAGACTTTATACTTAACGTGCCTTAACGTCTTTATATAAAGTTATAGAATCACAGGCTCTTGGAATGTATCTCTTCTGTGTTTGCCGCCAAGTAAAAATAACCCTGTTCTTAAGAATCACTCGTGTGAAAGAAAAAAAAAAAAGAAGCTTTGAAGCCTGGTAGACTTGAGTTCAGAGCGTTCTCTGCTACTTGGTCAGGTTTCAGAAATTTTTTTAATGATGATTATATAGCATAAGGTTGTAGTGGATTAACTGAAAAAAAAGTAGATAAAAATCATTTGGCATCTAGATGGAACTCCATATTAGTCCAGGATATTTCATTCTGTGTTTTGCCATTTTAGCCGAATATTCTTGTATGTATTGTATCGACTGGAATCGGCCGTGATGTAATTTCCCTCCAACTTTTTTTGAAGCAGTGTATTCAAATATTGCGAGTCTCAGCCCTCTTCTGCCCGTGACTCCCCGGCTCCTTTCCACTCTTCTGGGGCGTCAGGTGTTCTCATCACCTTTGCCATTGTTGAGATGTCATATATTAATGTAAGCGCGTCTGTGCTCATTCTGCCACCAGTCTTTCCAAGAGATTTCTGAGAATTTCCTATTTGCTCCGAAGGCTGCAGCGAAGCGCTTTCTGAACGCAGGTCTCCTGGGAATACGCCTGTCCCGTCTTTGAGATTCGCTGCGTAGGTCTCTGTTGTCTTGGTGACCGTCCTACTATGATGACCCACATTCAGAAAACTGTGAAATGAAATGTTGCTTCTAAAACTTCTGATGCAGTCAGCTCAGTGAATAACATTGCCCATTGATAACTACTTGAGCGCGAATCTTTCTGGAAATGAAATCAAACAGCATGGGTTTGCCAAAGCACAGGATACAACTTCATAGGTACCTTTTTGTAGGTAGCCTTTGTAGGGGAAAATAGTGTAGAACAAAATGTATACAGTTTATGTATATGTGTATCTGTGCTGTACATCCTCCTTGTAAAGTGAGAAAAGAATCTCACCAGCAATGATAAAATCTCACCAGCAATATTTTCAGGGACACAAGTATTTGTTTCCCTAATGTCCAAGGGTTTGGGGAGAAAACATTCTATGACGAGAATGTCTCGTTGTTCCCCATTTAAGTGATATCATATGATATTTGTCTCTGTCTGACTTACTTCACTTAGTATGATAATCTTGAGGTCCATCCATGTTGCTGACAACAAGGACCTACTGTAGAGCACAGGGAACTATATTAATAGCTTGTAATAACCTGTAATTATAAATAATGTGAAAAAGAATATATACATATATATATATATATCTGAATCATTATGCTGTATACCAGAAACTAACACAACACTGTAAATCAACTGTATTTCAAAAAAAAAAAAAAGAATGTCTAGTTGTCATCTCAAGGCCCATCTAGTAGGTGAAGCGAGCCATTACCAGAGATGGATGAGCCTTGTAACCTGTCGTTCCTGAATCCGTTCCCTCCACACACATGCACTGGGTGTCTAGCATTGTCGAACGCTGAGACAGAAGTTTCTGGTACTGGGCAGAGGAGGACTGTCTGGCTTCTACGCTCCGGATGCTCACTGTCTAGTGAAAGGAGACAGACGTGTAAACAAGCAGGCTGTGGGAAACAAACTATGTCGGGCAATGTTCCGTCCGTGCTGGAGCTGAAAGGGAAAGCTTTCTGGGGATGTTTTCCACTTGAGTCTCAGCAGGAGGAGAGCGGGGCAAGGGTACTATATTTAGAAGGAGGATGGGAGAGATGTCTGCACCCCCTGAACCCCGGAAGCTGCCTGCCCACCAGAGGGAGGGGCGCTTGGTCCCTCGGCAACACCCCTAGGAGTCACTTTCCCATCTGACTGAAGTGGGAGGATGGGTTCTGCGCTTGCCTGGAGGCGTCTGTTTACTGAGCTACATCACTGACCTCGAGCTGAAGGCTCACAGCTCCTGCTCTAGGGACTTGGTCATATCGCCTGATGTCACTGCCTCTGTGGCTTCTAGAGACAAGCAGCCTCCTTGGGGCAGGTCCTGCCCCTATTATTTGGATGCCTTCAGTCGTACATACTGTCACCTCTGTTGGACAGTAGATCTTAAACAAGAAAGCTGACACCATGTAATTACGTTTGATTTATCAATAAACCATTTAAAAGCATTTCCATTTGACGGGTTCTACCCAGGCACCAATGGATGGACCTCTGTGCCTTTTCTCCTCTCATCCTGCTTTCTTCCTCCTCTTTGTACTTTCTCTCATCTTGACATTCCCATTGGCCCCTCTCTCACTTGAAGCAATTCTCTCCAAGATGCATATTAAAATTGAAGAACATTTTTCCTGCTACCTCGTCCTCGGGACAGATTTCCTTTCCAAGTCCAAAGATGAAAGTCTTGAATGAAATTTAAAATAAACTCATTAAAATGGATGGTTTATTGAAAAACAGCTACCCTACCCCTGATGTAAATTGACGGAAGGATATCTTCATTGAGTTCAGTGGATATTCATGGATTCGCAAGCCTCCTATGCTTCAAGTCTGCTCTCGGTCTTCATGCAGAGGGTTAGAAGATGAATGAAACATCACAACCACACTCAAAGGGTTCTCAGGTTGGTAGGGGAGCCAAACATGTAAGCTAATGAACTGGAACAGTGGACAGAGGATGCAGCATTGTTACCCGTGTAAAGTACAGAGAGGATGCTGAGAGAGAGTGAATAACCCGGAGAAGGAGAAGCTCTGGAAGAAGGAAGCTCCTGGAGAAAGCGACCTCAAAGTTGTACTTTCTGAACAGCCAAGGATTTTTCCATGATGAGCCAGTTAGTGGGGGCAGGATCCCCCCAGCAGAAAAAATGTTGTGTAGCGATGTGGATGGGTGAAATGGCATGAAATGCTCAGGAATGGCCAGTCCATCAGCCTTGAACTTCAGGTGTGGAAGGACAATGGGAAAAGGTGGGGTCCTGGCAAGACTGTGGGTGAAGGGTCTTATAGACCCACCTAATTGCTTCGGCTTCACCCTCTCGCTGTGGGAAGACAGGAACATTTAAAACAGGAAATTTAAAAGACTTATATCATAGAAAAAATTAAGACTTTTTTAGTTGAAAGAGTATGTTAGTGAGTAGAGGGAGGGGAAAGGAGCTGAAATTTACAAAGGGAGACTAGTTAGAAAATTGTTGCCAAATCCAAAAAGAGATAATAAAATATTAGAGCCAAATGGTGACGTTCTCCAGAATCACTGCAGTGCCGTGATGAAAAGTGCACTTGAACCCTTTTCCGTCTGACAGCTGGGCTCTCCCGGTAGAGGGTAGGAACCGGGGTGCCCTTGGGGCTCCACCTGTGTCTGTCCGTGGGGCAGGTGGCTGGCATCCACAAAAAGGTGGCCTGGACCATTGGGATCTTGATGGACCCGAGGTGGGGGAGCAAGTGCACGGAGTCCCTGCAGACCAGCATGTGGTGGCTGAAGGAGCAGAGCGCCGAGCTCGTCCTCCTCCCCAGGAAGCCCTTGGCCCCCTGAATGGAGGCAGCTCTGTTGAAAGGCTCCAGCTGGCCACCCAGCTGATGGGAGCAGTCATGCTCATACAGAATGTCTACAAGAAGGAGAAAGCTGGAGACTTCACAGAGGAGGAGGAGAACTTGAAGACGTTTGCCAGTCTCTGCATGACCCATGCCTTTTGGCATCTGAGCAGAAAGGGCCAAGGAAGCTGCAGAACAAGATGCTGAAAAGAAAAAGAATAAATAAAATGCTGCTGGCAACTTGTGATAAATAAAAATAAAATAAAGACACATAAACTCACAGCGTAGCCACCATTACACTAAGGTAGTGCCGGGAGAAGAGAGGAGAAAGGCACTTAGGAGGGAGAATCTGCAGAAACTAGTGGCTCATTGGATTCGAATAGTGAGAAAGACAAAGCCAAGATTATGCCTTCCAGGTCCCAGGACTTGGAGGAAGACCGGGAAGCGGTACCACTAGCCAGGACAGGGGATGGGAAACTTTGGAGGGAGCGGTCCTTCCTTCACTTAACAACTATTATCGAGTATTTAGATGCCAACATTGCTCTAAAAAACAAAGCAGACAAATCTCCCATTCTTAGGGAGTTTATAATCTGTAGAGAAAAGAGGTAACACACAAAAAGAATTTGTCCTATAATTCCAGGAGGTAGTAAGTGGTATTGAGAAAATTAAGGCAGGTAAGCAACGAGAGGCTGTAGGCTGGGGGTGCTCTTCCCGGCAAGATGGTCTTCTCTCTGAGAAGGTGATATTTAATTGGAGAACTGAATGAAGCAGGCGTCTGCATGAGGATCTGGAAGAGAGACCAGAAACAGGAGTAATTTGGGCGTGGAGTGGAGAGAGCCAACGTGGAGAATGAACAGGGTGGGAAATGAGTTTCAGAGAGAGAGGGAGTGGCCTTGCAGTCGAGAAGAGTTTGGATTTTATGTCATTTGAAATGAAACCCTGAAGAGTTTGGTCATCAGAGTGACAAGATCTGATTTATGTCTTTAACAGATCATGCAGGCTGTTGTACATAGAGAATTGATGGTTGGAAGGTGGTATCGATGCAGAGAGATGAACTAGAGAGTGATTTCCACCTTTTAGAGAGAATATCAAGGTCTATTGGACCAGAGAGATGGTGAGGAATTGAGGAGTGTTTAGATTCAGGATGTATTTCCATATATGGCTCTATCGATGGGTTACTTTTAATGGCAGAAAAAGAGAAGAGTCAAGGAAGAGTACTAGATTTTTGACCTGAGCAATTAAGGTGTGATGAGAACAAAGGCTTTTTGGGGGGAGATGTGGAGGAAGGGACATTAAGAGTTTCTTTTTGGCCACCTTAAGCTTGGGACACATTTTGGACATTCATGGAGAGAAGTCAGGTCCCTGGTTGGCTGGCGTCCTCCGGAGTTCTGAGAGAGTTCCAACTGGAGATGTCAACATGGGAATTATCAGTGTGTGTGAATGACATCGTCCAGCCTGGAGGACAGTGGGTGGGAGAGGCATCCAGGAATCAGGATGAGATGGGTCCTAGGAACTGAGGGAGAGAAGAAACAGGGAGAGATTTGGGGAGCCCTCCCTTGAGTTTCAGTGATAAAAGTGTCCCTAGAAGGAGGGGATGGACCAATTATGTCGATTGCGAATGACAGGTCAGATAATTCAACATTGAGTTATTGCAGAGTTTTCAAAATTAACAGGACTCTGCCTTTGAATAAACTAGTTCAAAGATTCAGAATTAAGACTGGTGCATCTGAAATTACCGCACAAAAGAGCATTGCTGTTCAGACCGGTACAAAGAACTGTGGTGGGAGAACAGAGAAGAGGGAGGTGAGTCTGAAAGGCAGATGGTGGATGAGAAAGAAGCAGTAAATTTCTGAGCCAGACGTGCCGAGGACCAAGAAGGCCTCACAGAGTGTGCAATGTGAAGACTTTATTCTGAGACAGAAGCGTCATGAACTTTGTGATGACCAAATCTCACTTGTTTCCTCCAGCTCCAATAGCCTGTGTATATAGGCTTAATTAATATGCATGTTAGTAATTTAGTTATTTTACTTGATTCTTGCCCATGTGCATAATGGAATCTTAGTCTCCTTTGTCTGCCCTGTGTTATTTCTAGGAGTTTGCAGAATATGTAACTCTAGGAACTGAAGAACGTTTCTAGGAGCTCACAGAACATGGGTTCCTCAGATACTCTGTCTCTCCCCTCCTCGGCGTCATGCTTTATTCCTAGACGCTGAGAGTATCACTCTCCTTCAGTCTGGACTTCAGACAGAGACTTCAAACTCAACAGAATGAGTATCTTTATCCTGCCCTTTCCGTGTTTGATCTCCTCAGTGTTTGTCAACCAAGAGCACAATGCTCACCCATTCCTGGTTAAGCCAAAGAACAATACTCACATGGCATGGATTAATCCAGTCTTCTCCAGTCTGTCCACTAGCCTGACAAGTATGCCCAGACATATCCGAACCACAGCAGTGGACACAACGTAAGATGAAGCGGAACTCTGCCACGTAGATTATGGGATTTCCAAGAGATTGAAACCACACAGTAATGAAGCAGACCAAAAACAGACAAACAAGCAAACAAACAAAAAAACTGCGTCTTGGATCCTTAGGCAAGAAAAGGAAATAGTCCAACCTCTTTATTTTTCACATGAGGAAAACTGAAATCCAACAAATTTAACTGATGCATCTAAGGACACAAAGCTGAATTTTGTAGAACTCAGACATGTACCCAAGTTTCCAAACTTCAGGCTATTTCCTTTTCCAATAAAATAGAAGCACACACATACACACACAGAAAGGCCACAGTAACTGACTTAATTCTGAATACAGTCTAATTCCTTCCACTGGATAGGGGGAGTAATTTTACTGTACTCTTGGAAATAAGAGCACCATTTGGGAAACAAACATGGTAATATATGGATATGTCACATGACAGATGCAGAAAGAGAAGTAATAATAATAATAGTGCTTGGCTAATTTCTGCTTGTGTTTCAAGCTTCAAAGTGTATTCAACTGTATTCAAATTGTAGTTTAGAAGAAAAAATTTTGACTACATCTGATTAGAGGATGGGGACCTTAACACATATTGACAAGGTGCATAAAATCTTAATTTCTGAAGTTCATGAATCTTGTGGAGAATAACAGTGTAACCAAATAATTATAGTGATGTGTGTTTACTGGACAACTGGTCAGTTGAACTACAAATCTAATTGAACTAATCATTTGATTAATGAATCAACTTAATCAGTTAAACTGTTGGCCTGTGTACAGAAGGTATGTTAGAGTTTTTAAAATTTATTTGTGTAAATGGCTGGAAAATCAATTTTACAGGTAGGAGATACAGTCTCCACCAATCCAATCCTGGTTCCACATTCCTCTAAGAGTTACCTTTTTAAAACCCTCTGTTTAATTCATTCTCTTTATTTAAAATCTTCCCCCCTATTTCCCACAGAATGAATGTCAAACTTCTTTCAGTGGCAGTCAGGGGTCTCTCCATCTGCCTGGACTTATCTTTCCGATAGTGTCACTGGCCCCTGTTCCTCAATCTCTTTCCTAGCCATACTCTTTTTTCCCCTTTCTTTTAAATATTCTACTATATACCTTTTATTGAACAACTGCCTCTGATTTTTTTTTTGCCTGTATACATCACATACTTAACTCACCCCTGGGCCTTTCTTTATGTTTCTCTCTCTTTCTGGAACCTTTCTAAACGTTCTTTACTGGTTGACAGCCTATGACTTCTTCAAATGCCCAGATCAAATGTCAACTTACCTGAGACTCCAATAACTGCTTCTGGGCTTCATTATAATTCATAATCTCTTATTTACAGGACCTTCCAGAAACATCAGCTACCCCCTTTCCTATCCAGAGTTCCATACTTTTTTATCCTCAGAAGCAGCCAGTTCAAGTATATCACTTTTTTATTCTTTTTTATGGCTGTGTAGTATTCCATTGTATAGAAAAACCACACATTCTTTATCCAATCATCTGTCAATGAACATTTAGGTTGCTTCTGTGTCTTGGTTATTGTAAATAGTGCTGCTATGAACATTGGGGTGCATGTATCTTTTCGAGTTAAAGTTCCCTCTGAATATATGCCCTTGAGTGGGATTGCTGGATCATATGGTAACTATTTTTAGTTTTTCAAGGAATCTCCATACTGTTTTCCATAGCAGCTGCACCAAATTACATACTCCTTATGAAATAAACAACAACATCCTACTGTTTAACACAGGGGACTAGATTCAATATCTTGTAATAACCTATAATGAAAAAAGTATATGAAAATGAATGTATATATATATGTGTGTGTGTGTGTGTGTGTGTCTGTGTATAACTGAATCACTATGCTGTACACTGGAAACTAACACAGCATTGTGAATCAACTATACTTTGATTAAAAAAAATCTACCACTTGTTTTCAACTCTCCAATCCCATCACCATCATTACTCACTCGGCTGACTCACTGAGAAACCAGCTGTGAGGTGTGAGTGCTACCAAATTGTATCCCTCAGCTTCCACTGCATCCATGCCATCCTCCCACATCCTCTCTCCCACGGAGCAGAGCAGTGTCCCCTTCCAGATCTTTCAGCACCTCTGCCTCTTTCTCAGACAACTGCCATGTTGCTAATTGCTCATTTTGTATTTGATGACAGACATGTAGAAATGCTCATTGACGCCTGTGACCTGCCTTCAGTTCTATTTATTCTTCAACTCCATGCACACAGGTGTGTGCATGCCCCCCCTGCCCACCTGGTGTGGTTCCAAAGTCCAAATCCATGGTCTTTCCATCTTTGTTCT